CCTAGCACGTCCGAAATTTTCGTTAAAAATCTTGATTTTTTTTTTGAGTCAGCAAAATTGACCATTTTTTCCATTTTATAAAAAAACTGTAAATCTCACTTTGAAATTCTTTTAAATATCAATTATCATTTTTTCAAAATTTATTTTAAGAAAATCAGAAATTATACTGTTTATTTAAAATATTTTGAACCAAGCTTAACTTAACTTCTGCGCCGAAAAGATGTAATTTGAAAATAAAACAAAGCAGGTCATAAACTTTCGTGTCACTTGACAGGTGATGAATGACATATTGACGGATTCCGTGAGGATAATTTGTTCTAAGGAAGGAGAAAAGTGAAATAATTTACATTTAAATGAACAAATTATTTACCTCGTTATGATTAAGGAAAGCGTTCAGCGCTCTAATTTTTTGTACTTAGATTTCACCTTTACGTTTACGATGCTTTATGGGAAATATAAAGAAATTAAAATAAGACTGTTAAGAGTAAGATTAAATTTCATATTTCATAAGAAAGGTATCTAATTAATTTATAGGTACCTTTCTTATGAAATTTTATCAGAAGTGTACATAAAATACTATAATTTTATGTACATTTATTACATTTTACTGTGTTATTTGTATTTCCATTCATTTTATTATTAATTTTGATATTTTATTTATGGAAAAATGTCATAACTGCGATTAATATAAATATAAGATCATATAAAATTTCATAAGATGATACTGATACTTGTAGGTACCCTTCTCAGTTGAAATTGAAAAAATCAAATTAAATTTTCCACACGTGTTTCGCAAAAGTAAAGGCTTTAACAGCGGAGAACAATGCTTAACTCAAATAACGCAACTTAATTGTATTCTGGTTGGTCTTCCGTACTTTATAATTACAGCCCAATTATAAACACAAAATTACATTTCTTAATTACAACGCACTAAAAAAAGATTTATCTCATAAGGAGACTTAAAAAACCCGATGCAGCTTTTAACTAATTTTATAATATTTTAATAACTTAAATGTAAAAATGTCTTATAATTAAGAAATAACAAATAATTGTATTAAAAATTCATTTTTCATCGAAAATTATTTTGCTTTCAGAAAATATTGTCAATATTCATAAAAACAACGAAAAGCAAATAAAAGCATTTGAAATTAAATAATATCTTTGTTTTATTGAGTTTTGTATGTTACAATTCAGAGCTGATTTTCAGGTGGTGGGAGTCCAATTAAAAACAAAAAAAAAAAAACATGATTTGCATTCCTCAAAGCCTTGTGCTTTTAACTATTGTAATCACTAAACCCGATGCGATCGAATTTCTAGCGTTTTCATAAAATTAGTTAGGGGGGGGGGGTAATAAAAAAAATTTCTGCCATGACTTTAATAAAAAAAACACATATTTATAATAATTTCGATCATCTGTGAATAGTTCTTGAAAGTTTCATTAACATCCGACAATTATTTTTATTCTTGCAAGATTTTCCAAATTAATGTGTCATACCAAAAAAAACAAAAACAAAAAACAAAACAAAAAACAACGTGCTAAAAATAGTCTATGTTATTTACTAGTTCTGGTGATACAAAGAGAAACAAGGTTTTTTTAATCAAAATTTAGAATGTTCTAAAAAGAAGGAAAAATTTTTTAAAAAATTAAAAAAACTTTCGTCTTAATAATAACATAAGCATTTAGACGATAAAATTTTGTTTTCGGTAAGGTTGGGGTCTTTTTCATCAAGCTATGCTCTTTTTAGCGATTTCGTGGAGGTACCTATACTGTATTTTCATCACACACACATATATAGGAAGGATTGTTGAAAGGTATATATATATGTGTGTGTGTGTCTGCATATGTGCATATTTCTAAACAAGTAATGAACTTTTATTTTTTTCATTGTTTTACTTCAAACGTTATTTTTAGTAAATAGCCGTATTTGAGTATATCTCATTTCTTAATGTGTATTACACTACCAGCTTGCGCACACAAGAAAACATAATAACGAAAATGTGTCCTCCGGTAGGGTTAGAAATTTTGTAGGAGAAACCACCGTCTGATCCAGTGTGCTTTAAACCGCCTAAAATTCCGTTTATTAAATTCCCTCGTGTGCACAGGTCAGTAGACGTAATTCGCACTGTTTAAGAATTGGGGTGTCTATCCAAATACGGGTATCCACTCAAAATAACATACAAGTAATAAAAATGTCTAATTAAAAGAAAAATTCTTTAGAATTTTCGAGAAAATCTGAACGCAGGGATTTGCATTCCTTAAAAGGGTAAATAGAACCATGCCGTTGACGATCTCCGTGACTGAACGGGTTAAATCATGTCGGATCAGACGGTGGCTTCTCCTAAAAGAGGATCCAGATTCGAATCCTGCAGAAGGGCCCATTTTCTTTTCCTCGTGGACGCAGGCCGGTAGACGTAATACACACTGTTTAAGAATATATATTTACAGCAGAAAAAACAAAAATTACCTCAACATCGATATAGTTTATTTCAAGCCATTCTGTGTGTAGCTATCATCAGTCTCTAAGTGTCTGTGTTTCGGAGCATTGTTTTAAATTTATTTTCAATGTCAGTCCTCCTTTGGTAGGTGCCTTGTTAATGAGAATGGGTTTGTGTTAGCGATTGGTGGGGGCGTAAGATATCTTATCCCGGGTGAAGCGGTCTGGAATTGAAGTTTATTTACGGCCAGAAACTTTGTTGTTTGTAGTTTAATATCAGTTCCTACTATATCAATTTCTACTATGGGGCGTTTCTTATACAGGCCCCGAATGTGTTTTTCTGGGATTTGCGGTAAATAGTTTCTTTACCATAGGTGTCCAATATTATTAATAAGTGATGGGGAATTTAAACTTAAACCCGTTAAGATTAATGTAAATTAGTTGAGTTATAGATTTATAGATTCGAGCACCCAATAGAATAAATCATGCTGTCGAACACACTTATATACGTACATATCTTCATACATACTCAAATGTACATTTACATGTCTATACATATATACCACTATACGTACACATACACCCCAACATATATGCACATGTATTCTTATGTAATTTGCAATTTTTTCTACATTTCGTGATTAGTTCTTTCCGTTGCATTGATCTTTATATTTTATTATTTTGATTTTTCTTCTAAACATAGCTTGCACCTATCCCTCAAACTATTGGGCGTGTTCATGAAACCTAGAATTTTCCAATTTATTTGAGGATTCAGACCCTTTTCCTCAATATTTTTGAAAGGGATGTTTGGTGTTTTAATTTTGGATTGGTGAATGAATGTCTATGTGTATTGATTCTCTTTTTAAATTCTCCTGCAGAAATGCCGATGTAAATATTATGGATTGTCGTATTTTCTTTAGGGGTAATACTACCCTAGTGGATCTGTACTTGCCCTCTACGGGACAGTTTTCCTTAATTTTGCAACTTCAGGGGGTTTCCATGTTAGATTTAGTTATTTTCTCACGGAATTTACTTAAAATGTAATTGTTAGGGGAATTAATAATTTGGTACATGTTATCAGTGCAGGAGTAGCTAATTTTGATTGATTTCCTGTTGAATATTTTATTTAGAGGGTTTTTTGCCACTAAAAATTATATTATAATAAAAATTATAGTAAATAATTATATATGCCATGCTATAACGTTTGACACGAAGACTCACTCTACACCTTTCTGATAATAGCTCAATTAGATCATTTTTAAATACTCATGGAGACCTACCGGACCCTATTCGTAACACGTTTGTTAACAACACAAATATAATAGCATCATCTACATGCAAAAATGGAAGCCTTATTAATAAAAACAAAAAACCAACACTCAATAATATCAACTATGAATATGGACACAATATCTTGACCGTGTTTTGAAAAATGAAAATATTATATGAATACATACATGCAACAAACTATTTCTTGTTTAAGAGTTAAAATATTAAAAAAAGAAAAAAAATGAAAATGGCTAAATGTATAGCCGGAAGCGCTCGGAAAAAAAAGAACATTCGGACAATTTTTATATAATTTATCATCTGAAAAGAAAACAATTGAGAAATTGTATAAAAAACTAAATCAAAGCATCTTGTCTGTCGTATTCAATGAAATGCATGAAATAAATACATAAATATATATATATATATATATATATATATATATATATATATATATATATATATTATTTATTCGAAAATTATAACATAAATGTTATAAAATCACTACAAAATATTTTTGTTTAGCCAACACTTCTGGTGTTTTATCAAGTGATGATGATGAATGGTTCTACTTTCAACTTGATAAGACACCAGAAGTGTTGAAACAAAATGGCTATTTTTGTAGTGATTTTATAATTATGTTATAATTTTCGAATAAATTATTATATTTGTTCTACTCTATATTGAGCACTCTTTTAAGAATAGTATTTGTTGGATATTGGAATTTATTCCGTATACATCAATCCTATACTTGTGTGTGTGTGTGTGTATATATATATATATATATATATATATAAACATTGTGGTAATAACAACAAAGATGAGGACGTTAGTCTCAACTTAGATAACTGTAATATTATTTTTCTAGCCTAGGAAACGCATACATTGAACTGAAAGAGAGGTTTATTTTAGTCCCTGATATAGTTTTTCGTTACACGTGACTACTTCTAATTAACATTGTCAAAGAATAAAAGAAATTAAATATTACTCATATTTTTGATTTTGTAGCATAAAATTTAAATATAAATATTACACAGAAATCCTCTGACCAGAGAGTCAAATTTGGTAAAAATATTAAAATTAACTATAAAATTTATTCTGCACAATTCTTTATATTATTTATCAAACAAAAAAAATACTTTTCGATAAAATAATTACTTAATGCAAGGGCGATAACTGCGTAAGCATTGAAGCTCTGTTTCCATAGCGATGAATTGTTATTGTTTGTTCGAGTGTCGCAGACATTTATTAGATTAATTTTGAGATTGTGTAAGAAGAGGTTGGGATTATAAGGCAAAAATGGGCAGTACAAAGCCTGACTGGCCATGGCGACTCACTGCGACTGGCGAACTGGGCGTCAAACGAGAACCCATGTTGAGGAATGAATTACACCTCAGGGTAAGAATATTTTTCATTTATTTCTTATAAAAGCAATCCTTAAATCAACATTTGTAGGTATTAGTTTTATTTGACAAGTTAGGTAAAGTAGAATATTCTATCTATCTATCTATCTATCTATCTATCTATCTATCTATCTATCTATCTATCTATGTTAATCTGTCTGTCACTTTTTTTAAATTTGAGAAATTTACAGTGGTATATTTTAAACATTCTTTATGCGAAGAACAATGTTTTGAATGTTAAAAAACTGATTTTGTGTTAATAAGTGAATCGATATCACACCCCAATCATATACACAGTTAGTGTGCATAAAAGTAGTACCTGCTTCTGCCGCTAGATGGAACTGCCATTTCTTATTTCGTGATTACATTAATTATCCGCTCAGCGATGAATGTAGGAAAGAGAAAGGCTTATTTTTGTTTGACTTAAAACAGTACTATTATTCTACTGGTGTGTCTGAAAAGGTCATTATACATTTCTGCCTAGGTTCAGAGTGTAGTATTTCCCTTGGCTTCCCTGAAATAGAATCATTTACACGTTTTGATCAATAAACTTACATAACAATAATATGTTAAAAGGAATTTAGAAGAGCGAGAGATATGTGAGGAAACTGTTGGAGGTAAGAAACTTAGAGAAAAGTAAAAAAAGAAACAGGCAAAAAGGGTGTGTGCTTGTGTGTCTATATCTCTCTCTCTCTCTCTCTCTCTATATATATATATATATATATATATATATAAGTGTATATATGCATATATATCTGTGTATATATGTGCGTATGTATATGTCGTGAATATATGCATATATACGTGTCTGTCTGTATATATATATATATATATATATATATATATATAGCAGTAAAGCCCGGCGTTGCCCGGGAGTAAACTTCCTCTGAGTGGAAGGTCATAAACGCCATACTCATTTTGTACACGCATGTAAGTCTAGTAGAACTGATGGCCGCCCATGTAAAAAAAACGTAATGTACACAAGTTGTCGGTATTCATCAGCACAATGGAAGAAAAAATTGTAAGGCTTAAAAGGAAGCAATGGACAGCCATGGTAGCATCAGCCGTTTGCCATTACTAAGGTACCTCCAATTAAAAGTTGTCAAGTTCAATACTAACACAGGCCTTAGGAAGTTTTTGGTGAGTTTTGGCAAATGGCTTTGTATTCCGATGGGATGGCTTTATTACCCCTGAGTGCAAGACAGTACATGAAGCCCTGTGTCAGTTGCAACGTAGTAAAACGCAATAGCGTGAAAGGTAGACGCGTCTTTTGCCCAAAAGACGGCGCTGCCACTACTGCAAACAGAACTACATAACAGAAATATGGGAAGGTGCCGGCGCGAGTACTTGTAAGTGGCACAATTTTTTTTTTATAGTTTTTAATAGCCAGTTGAGGCGAGCACGTAGCGTTACCTAAAGCAGCCCTTATGGTAAGGGGGAGAAACACACCAACGGTGTACAGCAGAGAATGCATATTATAACTCCGCATGCTGCTATTCTTTTATTATCCCACTTCTTTTTACTGAGGCCTGAATTGCGTGGATGCACTCGACCTCTCTGATAATTAAACGAATCCACCTTCCCACGTATTGGTTTTGTGTTGCAACTGAATATGGTTACGTGGTCGACATGTAAGTGCGAATGCAGCTATGGTGGGAGTTTAAGTGATAAGGGAGCATCTTGTGAGCAAGACAACCTTTTAATGAAATGTCTTAGTAATGGCAAGTGGATTCTACGACGACCTTTAAATAAACCAGGTTAAAAAATGAAGGAACCTATGATGCAGCTGACATAAAGATATGTGCATTGCGTTTAAACGTGACCGACCATGGGCTATAGGACTTCTGCGTAGGTAATATTTTTAGCTTTGTTTGTTGGAGAGTAAACGTAAACGTTATACTTACTCCCGGACTCGGGAGAAGCCTACGTAAAGATGTCCATGGGCGAAACACTGTTCACCTAAATGCAGACCCGCGCCGCTGAGCGTCTGTCCTTGCGATTTGGCCATTGTCGTTGAGCCGTGCTCGCCGTACCCCATGTTTTTCTGATGCTCTGGTAGACGCAGTAGATCTGGTATTCCTTAAACGACGATTAGCGGTCTGCATGGGACTTTCTAAAGCTCTGGCAGACGCAGTAGCGCTGGCATTTCTTAAACGACGAATAGCCGTTTATTGAGGTTGTTCCAAAACTCTGGAAGATGCTGTAGCCCTAGCATTCCTAAGACGACGCGAAGTGGTTTGTTCAGGACTTTCTAAAGCTCTAGAAAATGCTGTAGCGCTGGCATTCCTTAAACGCCGAAGGATTGTCTGTGTTGGGAACTCGGAAGCCCTGGCCCTAGAAACGCGTATTGCGTCCTGTGAATTCTGTACTAAACGCTCTTCAGTTGAAAGTCTAGCGCGTCGTTATGACATAACTGATGCTACTGATGCCAGACTTTCAGTCCGTTCAGTGGTACTTTCCGTGGAGCAGAGCGTGAGGCCATCTGTGAAAGGCGCAATGAAGTTTGCTCTGTGGTTTCATTTGCCCTTGCTGCTCTTGCAGCGGGGGCAGCAGCCGTGCACCATCCAAAAAGTTTTATTCTCTCAGCGGCATTTTAACCAATTTTAAAAAGGCAAACGTAATAAAAGGCATGTAAGTTTTTTAAGTGCAAAAAATACGTATAGTATAAACGTAGGCAGGTTAGAGGGATCCCCAAAATGTATGTAACTGTATCAAAAGGGGATCGAAGAGAAAAAAGTGAAAAGAATTCAACTAAAGCTAAAACGGTAGTAGATAATTTGGGAAGTAAATTCGATAAACGCGGAAACGGATGTAGTTATAATTAAGAAGTAAAAAAAAACTGTTTGGATACGTAAACAACAACTTGCGGTTTCCATAAGAAGTAAATGAAGTGAGCCAAGTGCGGGACAGTAATCGCAGATGTGTGAACACGCGTGCGAGTCATGGTATAAAGAGGCGGTTAGCCGGTTGACCTTGAGCGCACATACTAAGGTGACGTGCGTACGCACGTGCACACGCGTGCGTAAGAGAATTGCTCGCGCGTATGATTGGATGGGCCCAATGTTAAACGCTTGGAACCGTGCTAATGAGCTCGCATCAACCGTAAACAATTGACATGATTGGTTAATTTTTGGAGCCGTCAAATCCTCCGCAGGACCCTTAGCAGTAACTGTGTCAAATTTGGTTGAAATCAGTTGAAAATGTAGGAGATCCGATCAAACATATAAACGAACACACACACACATTCTGACTTTTATCATATATATATATATATATATATATATATATATATATATATATATATATATATATATATATATATATATATATATATATATATATATATATAACAGAGAGAGAGAGAGAGAGAGAGAGAGAGAGAGGGTGAAGGATAGAAATGGAAGGTAGGTTTATTGGTTGAATATAAAGCGACAAAGTTTGAAACACTGAAAGGCAAGTTAGGATGGAAGACGGCTTTTATATTTTCCAAGATTTATGCGAAACTGTTTATGCGAACACGCCGCCATTTACATAATGTGATTAAGCTGAAGGACGTTGGTAAAGCAAAGCCTAGAAGGAAAAGAAAAATGGTAGCCTGATGGGAGAAAGGTTGGAGATAATAGACCTAGAGAAAAACGAAAAGTAAGGCAAGTGGAAAGTATACATGAGACGCATTGGGATGGAAACGTCTAAATATTTATTTACATTGTTCGAACTGTTGTTCTGATCTTTATGGCCATATTCACGCTCCGGTTTTCTTCAGGTGATTGGAATTTCGAGCTGACCTCTTTATTTCGTTCACCTGAGTAGATTATTCTAGTTCCACGGGCCATAGCTCTTCCGGATGTCCCAGATATCTTTCCCAGTTCAACTCGCCAAGTTTTTGTTTACCCTTGAACTCACAACTCTTTGGGTCAAGTCACTGGATCCAACCAGCACTTTTATTCACTTGAGGGCATCAGTGTATGAACTTTTGGGTCTTATAAACTTAATGTCTCAGTAATCGTTTTTTACCAGACCTCAGATTGCAATTTTTTTTATTATTATTGGTTTTCACTCGCACTCCGTATTACTGGTTCCCATATTGTATTCATTTCTATGCTTGGCTGGCTTAGGAGATTTTTGTGGCCTAGCATGGCTGCACGGGATGGCGCACAGCTCTTAGTCAAGTTCTCCTTTATAGAGTGGGTGGGGGATGGTCTTACACGGAATATTTCCGCACAGTAAAATTCTTTGAGAAAAAAATAGAGAGTGTGCGTAAAGAAATATAAAAAAAAAAGATGATGCAGTAGAAAATATTTGTGAAGTCCTTTATATCTTATTCGTATCTACAAATAATCCATATTATGATGATTTGATGAGCTTTTCTCTTTGGTACTTAGACTTTACAATTTTAAGCTCAGTAGCAGATTGGCAGCTCGGTTTCGTCATTTTACAGTTGAAATTGTTAGATGTAACCGTAAGTTCTGTGCTAACAGTTTCTTCTCTCGCTTGCAGAACTCTCTTCCAGCTTCTTGCTTTCCAGCGAGCATTGATCTTCAAAAATTTAAATGTAATGTCAACCGTTACCTTTTGTCTTAATTCACCTTCTTTTCTTGTTCTCTCTCCTTAATAATGTTTTCTTTTTCCCAGAACCAACTTCGTGGCTTTATTGTCTTACTTGGGGTGAAATGATTAAAAAAATGTATAACATTTAGATAAAAACATGGACGGACAAATATTAATGGAATGGATAAGGAAAAAATGTGAAAATACAGGTAAAGCGTGAAAAAAGAGCAAAGGCATGAAATAATGAATACTTTTAATTGTCAACAACTGTAGAATTACAACTCATAAACAAATGAGTAAAAATTGACAAACTTGAAAGTAATATTTTGCTATTTTACTTTTTTAATATAAGCACTGTTTTAGTTTTCATCAGTTTTCACTAAAATTTAAAACATCAATCGAGAATTTTTGCCTTAATTAAAACCAAATTATTGACAGTTTGAAAAA